ACACACACACACACACACACACACACACACACACACACACACACACAAAACAAGAAAAATAAAGAAAGGTAAAAAATGTGCTTCGATCTTGTCCTCAGAGTTCATCAGATCTCTCGCTGAAGATGGATAACATTTTTCATCATGGATCTCTTGGAATTATCTTGGATCATTGTCTTAATCAGAGTAGCCAAGTCTTTCACAGTTGATCATTATTACAATGTTGCTGCTACTGTAAACAATGTTCTCTTGGTTCTGCTTACTTTACTTTGCATCAGTTCATATATGCTATCCTAGGTTTTTCTGTAACCATCCTGCTTGTCATTTTTTATAGCACAATAGTATTCCATCACAATCATATGCCATAGCTTGTTCAGCCATTTCCCAGTTGATGGGTATTCCCTCAATTTCCAGTTCTTTGCCACCACAAAAAGAGGTGCTATAAATATTTTTGTATAAATAGGTCCTTTTCCCTTTTCTTTGATCTCTTTGGGATCCAAATCTAGTAGTGATATCGCTGGGTCAAAGGTTATGCACAACTTTATAGCCCTTTTGGCATAGTTCCAACTTGTTTTCCAGAATGGCTGGACCAGTTCACTACTCCCATCAAACTGTCCTAATTTTTCCACATCTCCACCAGCAATTGTCATTTCCTAATCAATCTGATAGGGGTGAGGTGGTATCTCAGAGTTGTTTTAATTTGTATTTCTTGAAACAATAGTGATTTAGAGCATTTTTTTCATGTGACTATCAATAGCTTTGGTTTCTTCTTCTGAAAGCTTCTTGTTCATATCCTTTGACCATATGTCAATTGGGGAGCGGCTCAATTTTTATAAATTTGGCTCCGCTTCCTATATATTTGAAAAATGAGGCCTTTATCAGAGAAACCTACTGTAAAATTTTTCCCCAGTTTCCTATTTTCCTTCTAATTTTGGCTGTGTTAATTTTGGCTGTGTTTGTTTTATTTGTGCAAAAGCTTTTTAATGTCATGTAATCAAAATTGTTCATTTTATTTCTCATGATCCTCTCTATCTCATTTGGTCATAAACTCTTCCCTTATTTATAGATCTGACATGTACATTTTTCCATGCTTCACTCATTCATTTATGGTGTCACCCTTTATGTCTAAATCATTGTCCCTTTTGACCTTAGCTTGGCATGTGGTGTGAGATATTAGTCTGTGCCTACTTTCTGCCAAACTGCTTTCCAGTTTTCCCAGCAAATTTTGTCAGACATTTCATTCTTAACCCAAAAGCTTAGGTCATTTGCTTTATCAAATAGTAGATTGCTATGGTCATTTTCTACTGTGTTTTGTGTACTTAATCCATTCCACTGATCCATCATTCTATTTCTTAGCCAGTACCAGATTGTTTTCATGATTACTGTTTTGTAATACAGTTTGAAATCAGATTACCTCACATTTCAGTATCATTCAACAAACATTTAGTAAGCACTTACTATGTGCCAAACCTATTACTCAGTTCTCTATCAGACACCTTAGCTCTTTCAATATTACATATAGTGTCTGGAGTCTAGACTTCAAGATGGAACAAAGCCTCTATCTGAAGTCTCAGGTGGGAGATATTATCCAAGACAGGAGTGATATCGTAGAAACAGGATTACAACAGAGCACTTGCCCAGGCCAGGCTATTTCCAGATAACTGTTTACTCTGCAACTTTCTCCTTCCCTAAGTATAGGTCTCTGGTGAGTGAGGGTTAAGGGAAGGCCTGCTGTATAGGGTTAGAAGCTTTACTGGCTTAGGGTTGGGTGCTAATGGAATTATAGTTAGGTTTTGGTGTTGTTAATTTGGTGTACACCTAAAGAGTGTCTGGGTTTCTAAGCCATAAAGGAGATGATTCAGCAAGAACTTGAAGGTTGGGTTCCTCCCTCCACCACAGCTCTAGTGAGGGCTGCATAGAGGATCACAGTTCTGGGGCTTTGGTTCTGGTCCTGTGTAGCTGCAGCTGCTTTGGGTCCACAGAGGAAGAGAATGTACAGTCTGGCACTTTTATTCCCACTCATTTCCTTTAGCTCGTATGTAAGTTCCTCTAGTACCTTGTTTCAGTGTCTTACTTATCTCAACACTTAGCTTATCAGGAGTTATAACTGGAAGCCCAGGTGTACCTGTTCCCGCAGCCACTGCCCAACTCATTGACCACTATGCTGAGAGGCCTGGGCTGGGGACCTGAGGCAGAAGAGAGATGAGGAGGGCAGAGCCCAAGTTTGAGTAGTGAGGGCCGCTTGCTTACCTGGAGTCCAGTGGTATGCTGGAACCAGCTCATACTGTCTCTCAACAACTGATTGTTAAATTTTCAGCTTGAGCATTTGTACCTTGGAAATTGGCAAATGTTACAAATTAGAGCTTGATTTGTTGTTTTGTTGATTGTCTAGATTTAAGAAAAAGATGGAGAAAATGTTAATAAAACACACGAAATTTAAAAGTGTCCTAGAAACAGCCCTCTACCCCCTTATCCAGTTGTTAAGCATTTACCTTCATACTCCTGCCCGTAGCTATAGTCTAGGGGACTGGAGTCTAGAAGTCAGTTCTTAGTCATTTGCTTAAAGTTGTTTTAAACTACTTTAAATTGGGTAGCTTTCTCTTTTCCTTATTTCAGAGACAGTGAAACTGAAATATAGAAGGACCCATTTAATTGCCCTTGGCCATGAATCTGCTGTGAGTAGACCTAAGATCCATTTTGTGGTTCTCAATCATAATTGATTTCACATTGAAAGATGTGAATATCTACTTTTATACTTTATGAAAAATGTGCTTTCCTCTATTTTTTGGGTTTTGAAATCATTCCTGTTCTTATTCATAAACTATTAAGTAACTAAAAAGAGTATAATGTGTAGCATAGTCCAGAATAAAATTTTAGTCCTAACTTCGAATTAATTTATCAAAATTTAAGTTTATTCTAAGCATATATATATTTTATAGTAAATTCCTAAATGTAGCTATATAAAACAGATTATATAATAGGTCCAGTCTTATTCAGTGGGTACTGATCAAAAAATTCTTCATACCATGACCAAACTGGTAATGAGCCTCTCTGAACTTGATGAGGTTGGTCTGGAGACCATTGATTTCCAGACTTTTTTTGATTGTTTACCCTATCAGTAAAATATTTTTTACTATATTCCTGATATATGTGTGTTTATTTGTAAAATAAATTTGAAAAAAAAAAGACTTGTTCTTAAAAAAAATGAATCACTGACTGACAATACCAGTAATTCCCATACTACTTTACTGAGGCTTTTCTGTGTGTGTCTGTGTATTTTTTTTTTTTTTTTTTTTTTTTTGAGGCATTCAGGATTAAGTGACTTGCTTCGGGTCACACAGCTAGTAAGTGTCTGAGGCCAGATTTGAACTCAAGTGCTCCTGACTCCAGAGCTGGTGCTCTATCCACTGCACCACCTATCTGTCCCTGTATTTTTTAATGTATCTTTTTTCCAAATTAAACTCTATGTATGTGGATATTCTTTCTTCTCTATGTCTGTGTTCCCAAAATCTGAATAAGAACATTTGACACTCTGTGAGTAGTTAAAAGCTTTACTTTTTCTATGTATTTGTCTCACTCTTAGAGTTCAAAGGGTTTTAATAAACATTCTAGAGCTAAAAAGGATCGGAAATTATTTAGTCCAACTTTCCTTTTTAATAGGAAGGAAAAGTCTTTACGAGTACATACCTAAGGTTACATCACCTACAGCTAGAATTAGAAACTAGGTCTTAAGATGCTAATGTTTGGTTTTTTTTTACTCCATCATATCTTGTATTTTAGTTTCTGATAAATTAAATAAAAATTTCAAATGATCATAAAAATATAAATATACATTTGTACTATTGTGCTATCACATTATGTGCATTATAAAACAGACAGAATAGACATTTAAAAGAATGAAATAAAGATGAAAAGCAATATTTTAAAATTTTATTAAGAGTACAAAAACCTTTTTGCTCTTTAGAGCAATGTGATTGAATATGCAGAATTCACATGAGAATTCCTTTTTTAGATGATTTTTAATTGAAAGATGCACAATATACATGTAACAAAATAAAGGTGATAATAGTGAACATACTAGATTTCAGCAGGAATCATTTCTCTGTGTAAACATTTAGTACATATAATACAAAATCAACACGTAAAAGTAAATTGACTTCCACTCAGTACAAAGCTTTCCGTATAAATACATTACTTTTTTATTTATGTGGTTCTGCTTACTGAATGGGATTGTATTTTAATTTTCTATTCATGTTTATATATTTTAATTGTGTTTTTGTATGAATGTGAGAAACAGTAATAAAAATGAGTTAGCAAAACCACAGAGTAAAGGAAGGAGAAAGAGAAGTAGGAAGGCTGGAAAGTTAGATTGGAGCCCAGTTACAAAGGGATCAGACAGAGGTGTTTGTATTGGATCCTAAAAGTGATAGAGAGCTACTGAAGTTGACATGGTAAGACTTGTGCTTTAGGAAGATCACTTTAGCAGCTCAGTGGAGAGTGGATTGAAGCAGGGAGAGACTTGAACTTTGCAATAGTCCATATGAGAAATGATTAGGGGCTGAACTAGGCTGGTGTCTGTGTGAAGGAAGGAAGAGAAAGGGATAAATAGATGTTGTGGAGCTCTAAACAGCCAGATTTGGCAGCTGCTTGGGTATGTGGTGTTCCCAAATCCCAGGTTTCTCTGAAATTGTCTTTCTTGTTGTGTCATGTGATATAATAATATTCTGTAATGTTCATAAACTAAAGTTTATTTAGTCATTCCCCAATATTCCCCAATAGAGGAATGTTTTACTTATGGCTTCTTTTCCTTTCTCTTTGACCTCTTTGGGTTATAGGTCTAGTAGCAGTCAAAGGGTATGCACAATTTAGTGACTTCTGGGCTGATACTTCTAAATTGCATTCCATAATGGCTTGGACCAGTTTCCACTTCCACCAAAAGTTCATTACTGTGTCTGTTTTCCCATAGCTCCTCTTAACTTTTGTCATTTTCCTCTTTTGCCATCTTTGCTAATCTGGTAAGTATGAGGGTTGAACCTTAGAGTTGCTTTACTTTCTCTAATTACTAGTAATTTAGAGTATTTTTTTCTGTTTGTGGATAGCATGGATTTCTTCTTTTGAAAGCTGCCTTCTCATATACTTTGTCCATTTATTAGGTAATAGTTTTTGTTCTTATATATTTGAATCAGTTCTTTATATCTCTTGGATATTAACTTTATCAGAGGAACTTGCTGCAAAAATTTTCCATTACCTGTTCTCCCTCTAATTTTACCTTCATCAGTTTTGTTTATGCAAACTTTAAAAAATGTATCAATATTGTCTATTTTGTGTTATGTAATCCTCTGTATCCTTTGGTCATGAATTCTTCCCCTATCCATAAATCTGAAAGGTAATGTTCTTGGTCTTATAATTTTTTTATGATGTCACTTTTTATATTTGAGTCATGTATCCAATTTAGAGCTTATCTTAGGGTGGATTTGAGATGCTGGTGTACTCTGTACCTAATTTTGCAGTAGTTGATTATCCTGTTAAAGGCACAATGTTGCCATTTCCTTTGTCCCTTTACACTCCTATCTCCCTTTCCCAGCAGAAGAGACAAAAAGCTTAGTTACATAAATATGTCTCTCCATCAGTAATGTGTATTAATAATTTCTTAGAATTCTAGTAGAAACATTTACATTTTTATCTTTCTTTTTCCTTCAGGCTACAGCTGGACAATGGTAAAAGATATGGAATATATATGTAATAAACTAAGTCAGCCTGTAACATTTCCTGTCAGAGCAGCATTAGTTAGGCAGTCTTATCATCAGTTGCTTTGGCTGGTAGAGCAATCAAATAGGTAAGTAGATGGATAGTGTTTATTTTTTTTAATGGCCTGATACAAATGTAACATTTATTATGTTTGACTTGCTACGTATACACCACAAAATTAATATATCAGTATTTGCATATAAAATCATATTCCCCTTTCTATTTCTATTAAACTTTCAGAAATTTGCTTTTTTAACAAAAAATATTGCTTCCAATATGTATTAAAAATCCATTTAAAATTTCTAATTCCCACCATGGGCACCATCGTGCCTTTGTCAGATTGTGCTCTATACAAACTTGAATTTTCCTGAATGATTTCTGCAAGTTGTCTAGCACCTCCATATCCAATGTACAGTATAGCAAGGTAGAAATGTCATTCAAGGAAATAAAGCTAGAAATATTAACCGGACACAACCAAATGCATGCAGGAGAAATCTCTGGTGGTGTTGATACAGTTTTTAAGTTTCTCAAAGTCCCCAAAAGAATGGAAGAAATTGCAGATAATTTAGTACTTCAAAACAGGTGAAAGAGAGGACATCCAAACTGTATACCTACTTTGTGATCTCTGTAAAATTTTCATGTGAATGGTCCATTGAAAGTATACTTGATGAAAGCACAAGGTGGGAAGAGGAGAAGGGAAGGGAAGGGAATTAGCTTTTATGGAGTGCCCACTCTATGGCAGGCACTGCGCAAAGTCCTTTACGGATGTTGTCTCATTCAATGATGGTATAAAGGAGGCTCTCCCAAATGATTTATCACCGTCATGCAATTGACTGAGAAGTGGAGAGAATCCAAAATCCTGGTGTATTGTTTTGGTAATATGGTAAATCAATTAAAAAACCATTTACTTGGTTGAACAAAAAGCAGCTTTAAAGACTGTCCCCCAACAAGGTGTCCTGTGCATATCAAGAGCATACAGAATTTCATGATAGCTTCAATCACAAATGTAATTGATTCGACATTTCTATAAGGCATGAAACAGGGAGACTTGCCCACCAAAATGGTTTACATTTTGTACATAGGCTCACTTGTACAAAATCCAAGTCTTCGGGTGCTGCTGTTTGTAGATGATTTTGCCCTGATTACATAGATTCCTGGAATTCTTTTTTTTTTTCTGCCTCAGTCTCTTTTATTGTAGGTTGGACAATTTTAATCCCCACAGATATCAATAATATTTACTAAATAGAAAGCAAAAATATCAATAATGAGAGCATAACAGTCCAACCATATACCTCATCTATTCAAATAGATCACAAGCCTAACGTATCATAATTGCTTTCTTGTTAGCTGGTCTCAACTTCTGTTAGTTCCTCAGCTCTTTCAGATTCTGTGTTCTTATGTCTTAGCTTCTGTAAGTTGCTTTTTTTATTGATTTCTCTGACTCTCCTTGTTACATGGCTTTTAAGGCCTCAAATCAGTGACTCTCCGTGTATAGTGGCCCATCTATAATGAATTGAGGACTCCAAAATACACCTTTCTGATAGTTATAGTCCCATAACCCAAAAACAGTTCTGTTATTGAGAGTTACTGGAAATAAACTTACAATTCTTAAAAATAGTTGTATAAAGTTATTTTGTCCTTCATTTTTGAAGCGGGCCAATGACATCATATCATCATGTGTTGACTTTTGCATGAATTTGCACCACACAGGTGTCAGGGGTGAGACTTGAACCAAGGTCTTCCGGAATACTTCTACAGATGTCTCTCCATCTACTAAGAGTGGTTCATGTTTTTATAGAAAGCATTTCATGGTTTACCACTTTCCTTCTAAAGCCCAATCAAGAGAGCTCAGACTCAAATGATCAGTTCAGGAGTTTCAAAGTCGAGTGGGATTAACTGCCCCAGGAACCAGGGGCATGCTCTTTGGAGGGCTAGGCCTCTAATTTTCAAGTCAAGATGATGAGGTCTAGAGGTTTAGGGGTACTGGAACCCCGGGGTTCCTGCCCAAAAGAATTCGACGCAAGCCTTCTTTCAGCCAAAGACAAAGTTCATATTGCTGTATTAGCCAGACTTTTGAGGAATCTGAGAGTCCGTGAGTCACTGGCTAGATTTTAAGAATCTAAGCTGAGTTCTGGAATTCTAATAGGCTTCCTTGTGGATATCTAGTTACTCAGAAGAGACTGGCCAAACAGTACATTCTGGAACAACCAAGTGGATGAAAATTGCATATTATTCAGATTATGACATGCAGTTAGATGAGGCAGTTCATTAAGTTAGCCTATCAGTATATATATCTTACATAGGCCCTGCCTGTGAACTCAGAATTAAATAGAATATCAATCTGGACTACGTTAGAGAAATTACACTGCACTTTCAATGATCCCAAGCTGGTCCTACTGCCAATGCCCTCATCTTGAACAGCACTGTTCTTCCGTGTTAGTCTTTCTTTGGTGATTCAGAAAGCCTTTTAATGATTTTGCAGTGATTTGAGGTCATCATTTTGAACAACAGTTATTCTTATACTACATACTTACAAAGTACTGGTGAGTAACTTAGAATTTAATGTATTTTAATACTTGTGGATATATTTTTGAGCCACAATTTCATATTGCTGTTCTATCATGAACTATTGAAACATGTTATAATATACTGACTAAAGGCTACCACCCTTAAATATAGGCTTCATTCTTAAAATAAAATCTCTTTGAAAGAAGAAAATATACATGTATTGAAAAATAATTACATAAAATACCTATTTAGTGAAGGTTTTTTTTACTTAATTTCAAAGAAAAGCATTTTATTAATTTTTTATGATCACTTTTCTCTTCATCTTTATCACTTGCATTGTTGTCCTTTTATTAAGAATTTGATTACAGGCCACATTCTGATTTTATAAAAGTCATATTTGCGGGGAGGGGTGAAGCACAACCTCTATATTCAGACCAATGTGATAGTTTCTTTTCTTTATTGTTAAAATGCTGGGGCAGCTAGTTAGTGCAGTGGATAGAGCACCAGGCCTGGAGTCAGAAGGACCTGAGTTCAAATCCAGCCTCAGACCAGACTCTTGACACTAGCTGTGTAACCAAGTCACTTACTCCTGATTGCCTCACCAAAAAAAACCCCCAAAAAACTACATAATGCTCGTCTACAAGTAAAGCTTTGTTTAATCTTTGTAGATAAATTTAGTTACATAGTGCATGTAGATACCGGCAAAAATCAAATAGATTTTTTGATTGAAAACAACACTGTTGCACAGCAACAAACTAAATTTCTAGCCATCAAATACATGGGATACTGGATAAGAGAGTATATATGAGTTAGCACAAATTATTGCATTTTGTTTAACTTCATAATTTCATATAGGTTGGTTTTGGTAATTAAGTATTATTTGTAAAATTGATGATTTGACTGTTTCCATAGTAGCCAACATGAAAACCAAGCACAGTATTAACATATATTTTACTGGCTCACATAGTTTTGCTTCTCTCTCTCTCTCTCTCTCTCTCTCTCTCTCTCTCTCTCTCTCTCTCTCTTTTAGCCAGGGAGAATGATCTTTGGACAGGAAAGGATAGAACAAAAATGGTTAACAGGGAGCTGAAAAACAGGATAAGTAAAGAGATAGAAAAAGAGCCCTCAACTGCCTTCAATTACTTTAAACCATCATACCTGGATTAAGTACATCCCAAAACACTGAAAGGACTGGTCTGTGTAATTGCTGAGCCACTGTCAGTGATTTTTGAAAGACTGTGGAGAATGGGAGAGATTCCGAAGGACTGGAGAGGAGCAAGTATCTTGACTTTTGTATGGTAGAAAGGTATAATTAGGACATTATGGGACAGTGAGCTTTACTTAAATTATTAGGAGAATTCTATGATATTTTATTAAAAGGATGTTTTGAAGTATTTAGAAAGGGAGGTGATAATGAGGTAAGAAAACACATGAATATGGCTTCATCAGGAATAAGTTATGTTAGACTAACCTCATTTCTTTTTTTGATGGGGTTACTGGACTGATCAGAGGAATGCTATGGACATATAACTAGATTTCAGTAAAGCATTTGATAAAGTTTCTCTTTGTGTCAGAACCTCTCAAAAACCCTTTGAGAGTCTTCTATTCCTTTAGCTCCTTCACTTCCTCTCAGATAACCTGAGAGTCTTGATGTTTGGTACCTCCTTTATTTCTAAAGAATAAGCTCCAAAAAAAAAAAAAAAAGAATAATCTCCAGTAGCTCCCAATTACCTTAACAATCAAATGTAAATTCTTCTGGATAGCTTAAATCTGGCCCTCACTTACCTTTCCAGCCTTATTATCTATATCAATATCATGAATTCCATGAAGCCATTGTTCAATCAGGAAGAAGATTTATTAATGATCTGGGAAGGCTGGGCATCCCGCACGTGTGAGAGCATGCATATGAGAGCACATGCATCTACACATGCACATCTTTTTACTCCCTGTTCCCCGTTCGAATTTCCTTTCCCTGTTTCCCCATTCGCTGGGTACTATAGAGGTTACAGCCTATTGGAAGGACCTATTTTCCCTACCTGAGTCTCCGCCCCTAATCACATCTCCCATTCCCCACAATTTGGTGACCCTTACTTGGGAACACCCCTTTTTTTATATTAATTTGTACCTAACCTCAGAACTGGTTTCCTGCTGGTAAGTCTATTCACCACTAAGTGTGTTTTCTTATCTAATGTAATTCCCTTTATTCAACTTCCACCTTGCCCCAAGACTACATTCCTTTTCAACTAGATTTTTGTGGAAAAAAACGATTTCTCTGACTCTAAGTGTCTGATTGAGTGATATGCAGATGCACCATCCATATATTCCACCATGTGCAGTTCAACCAGATTACCTTTCTTGCTGTACCTTCATATGTGGTTCTCTATCTCCTGTCTCCATATTTTTGCATTGACTGCGCCTCATGTCTGAAATGCACTCTCCTTCTCTACCTCCAATTCTTAGAATCTAAAATTTCCTTCAAAGATTAGCACATCACCTACTACATGTATTGTTTTGTATTGTATTGATGCCCTCTATAAGCCACATTTGAATTGATGCCACTTATAAACCCTGCTAAATATGTCAATAACTAACAACAACAAACAGCATTTATTAAGCAGTTATTGTGTGCTAGCATTGTGCTAGGCACCGAGAATATATATACAAGCAATACAAAGCCCTTGCCCTCAAGGAGCTTACATATTAATGGGGGAAGGCAGCCCATTAGAGAGAGCTAAAAGGGGAAGGGGTCAGGAGTTTAACCTGGAAAGGAATGAAGACATACCTGGCTTGGGCCTCCTCAAAATGGAGGAACCAACCAATCAAAGGGAGAGGTGGAAGGCTGGAGGATACTTGCAATGTGAAGTTCAGGGTAGTGTGAACTTCCAAGGAAGCAAAGGTTACTGGGGCATTGTAGAGAAAGTCTGAGAGGATCAGGAGTACTTCATGGAGAAGAATGAAGACATTCCTAGAACCTAGGATATACCATTATTGAAGAATGTTCATTGCAGTATAATTCTGGTGGGTTGAATACATGTAAAAATATCCAAGTGGTTATTACCACTTGAATATACCAAGTGGTATAACGAGATAATGTAGGGTATTTGCAAGCAAAAAAGAAGAAACGCTTTTTTGGGGGGGGGTAGTAGGGGTTAAGTGACTTGCCCAGGGTCACACAGCTAGTAAGTGTCAAGTGTTTGGTCTGAGGCTGCATTTGAACTCAGGTCATTCTAAATCCAAGGCTGGTGCTCTATCTGCTGCATCACCTAGCTTCCCCCAAGAAGAAACACTTTTAAAAGTGCACTGCAGTATGTCTTTAATCAATGCAATAAACTGAGAGTTTTGGGGGAAATATTGAAACAAATAAGCCTTTCATGTCGGTAGAAAGACTGACTATTCTTGAGTAATGAAAGCTCCTTGAGATTAAGGATTCCTTCCTTGCTTCCTTCCTCCCTCCCTTCCTATCTTCTTTTCTTCTCTCCATCTGACGCAGTGACTGGCATCTAGGAGGTACATAATAAATATTTGTGGATTGTTTGATTATTGACTGAGTAAATATTTTGAGTCAAACTGTAGTCTAAGAATCAAAGTTGCAAGCAGCCATGGGTTTTTTAGGTACCTTCGACAGCTGCTCATGTCCTCCTAAATTCATGACAGTTCATGTCTAGGCAGTATGGAAATGATTATTAATGTCAGGTTAGGCTTTTCAGGCACACCTGAACCCACATATGATAATCAATTTCATAGTCATCTTCAAAAATAAAAGGCTGTATAATTATTTTTTCAATATTAAATTTTATTTTTCACTTATGAAATAAAATAAGAATTTCCGTAATATAGTACAATAAAAAAGATGATTGCACATGAAACTGTAAATCTACTGTGCATAAGTTGCTGTTTCTTTCAAATATATAACAAAATTATCATGGAAATTTCTTTTTTTCCTTTCTCTCCTTCCTGCCCTAGAGATGCCTACCATTAGACAAAAATAGGTATATGTATGTAAAATTATTCTATACATACTTCTATTTTATCGGTTCTTTCTCTTGATGCAGACAGCATCTTTCTTCATATGTCCTGTATATAGTTAATTTGGGTATTTATAATAGACAAAATAACTTACTTGTTCAAAGTCATTCTTAAAACAATATTGCTGTTACTGTATATGATATTCTCTTGGTTCTGCTCATTTCACTCTTCGTTATTTCACGCAAGTCTTTCCCTGTTTTTCTAAGCTCATTGAACTCATCATTTCTTATAGCAAAGTAATATTCCATCACAATCATAGACCACAACTTGTTCAGCCACTCCCCAACTGATGGGCATCCCTGCAATTTCCAGATCTTTGCCACCACAAAGAGAGCTGCTATAAAAGAGGTCTGCAAAAAGAGATAGTTTTATTACCTCATTCCCTATTCTGATTCCTTCTATTTCTTTTTCTTCTCTTATTGATATTGCTAGGTATAACAGGAAAGATATATAATCAATGCCTTGAGTGCTTTGCTTTGTAGTCATTTATCAGCTATAATCATTTTAATAGGATAAGAAGTAATTGTGTGATTTATAGTAAGAATATAGCCCCAGGTGAAAACCTCTGTAACTGAAACTATGATGTAGTCCTGGGGTGATGCCTGTTTTAGTTAACCTTAGGAGTGTGACTATAATCATTATAAAGTGTATATCTTAAGTACATGACCATAATAATCATATCTGTATATTAATCTTTATATTAAAAATTATGGAGAAAGAAAGCTGTCTGGGATGTAAAGGGCATTATTAGGACACCAAAGCCTGCAAAAATGTAAAGGGCTGACCTGCAAAAAGTAGAAGGCATCGTGGAGCCATATATTAAGTAACCAATAAACAGTTGTAAGTTTTGTATCTCATGATATCAGACTGTACTGGGCAGACTGCAGACCACCACCTTTGTTTCTTTTAATAAAGGTTGTTTTCTTTGCCTGGAAAGGTTTCCCAGTTACGTTTTGTCATAGGCTTTCCTATACAATATTGAATAATATTGGTGACAGTGGACATCCTTGTTTCACGCCTGATCTTAATGGAAAGGTTTCTAGTTTATCCCCATTACAAATAACGCTTGCTGATGGTTTTAGATAATTTTTTTGTTATCATTTTAAGGATAAATCCATTTATACCAATATTTTCAAGTGTTTTTAGTAAAAATGAGTGTTGAACTTTTTCATTTAAAATAGATATATTTAGGGCAGCTAGGTGGCGCAATGGATAGAGCACCGGCTCTGAAGTCAGGAGGAGCTGAGTTCAAATCCAGCCTCAGCCCAAACGCTTGACACTTACTAGCTGTGTGACCATGGGCAAGTCACTTAATCCCAATTGCCTAAAAAAATAAAAATAAAATAAAATAGATATATTTAAAAGGTAGTTATCTTTATTTGGTATTATGTTTAGTAACATGGTATTATTTTTATAGTAACTTTTCTCAACCTATTCCATCTTGAACTCTGACCTGGCATCCTGGGATAGAAGATATTTTAGTCTCTGTTCATTCAATTTTAGGCCTTTCTGTTGGCCTATTTTCAGTGCATATTCCAGGATCACCTGATAGCTATTATATGGTATCATCATATCTTTAAGAATTGTTCTTTGTAATATACCTGAAGATAGCAAAAAGGAGGTATTATTTTTGGATTCATGCTATAGGTATAAATAAAGGTACTATATCACACGTATGTAATACCTTAAGATTAAAGTGCTTTCCTTACAACAAACCTTTTCATAAATCAGTGCTACCTCTCAAGTTCTAAAACAATAATTTCCAATTCCTGTTGTGCTGATGATAAAAATAAAAAGTTAGATTGTTTTCTAGGATTTGTTGAGCTATTTTAATAATAATATAAATTTATAACTGTGTCTTTAAATTTATTTGATTTAAAATCATATATTGAATACCCCTGAGTAGTTTGATTTTTTTCTGTAATTTAATTCTGTAATTCTGTAATGTCATATTAAAAATAAAGTAATAGTGGAACATGCCCTCCTAAATGTTTATATCAGTTTCTTTTTTAGGGTTTGTCAACAAAGTAGCAAGGTAATTTAATAAGAATGCCATTTTGACAAAAGCGCCATAAAAAGGGCAACAGACAGAATTTCATATTTCTGTTCCACATTCTCTGAGGTAGTTCAGAAATTCTCATCCATTTGTCATTCTACTGAAATCCTACTAGACATCAGCAACTGCTATGCTTTCATCTCTTTTATCACTAGCAGGCTAGTATAATTCTTCTCTATCCCTTAAGAGCAGAAGTGTGTTATTTTAACAAGATATTGTTCCCTCTTCCTGATCCTCTGTCCCAGACTTCTTGTGAGGATCAAATGAAATCTCTGTGAAGTGTTTCCTTAACTATAAACCACTACACAAACTTAAGGTGCTATTATCTTTCTTGTTAACAAGAAACCCCAATGGGGCAGATAAGTGGCACAGTAGATAGAGCACCTGCCTTGGAGTCAGGAGGACCTGAGTTCAAATCAGGCCTCAGACACATAACACTCACTAGCTGTGTGACCCTGGGCAAGTCACTTAACCCCAATTGCCCTCCCCCCCAAAAAAAAAGAAAAGAAAAAAAAAAAGAAACTGCCACCATTTGTGATATGTGATTGTGGGGACCAGTTTTCTTGATTAACTGTAGCACAACCTGAAAACTAGTGCATTATGCCAGGCTTCTTATGGTCACCAAACATTTATGTGACGCTTCTATAGGTATAACAGCTATCTGATTTAGATACAGACAATTTGATTAATTTATTCTTTATGAAAAAAAAGTGTGATCATGGAAACAGAAAGCAGAAATTCATCAATTCACCTAAATAGATTTATTTTCACTTTCTAAGTGGTTCACCCATATAAAATTCTTCCATCTGAGATATGTGTATACATACATATATATATATAATCTATTTGTGATTGAAAAAAAAAATTGTCATTATTTTAACTCTTGTTAGAATTTTTGTCACCATCTCTGATTTAATTTATAACCATATCTTTTTTTTCATTTTAATGCAGGTACAGTCTGACTATTTGGACAGGAAAAGATGATAAATATCCCATTGAAGATTTGCTCTATATCAGAAAACACTTTGGGAAGAAGCAAATTTTCTATGATATCTTAGAACCACAAAACCAAGAATTCAAACAAGCTATTGGAATAGAAACTGAAAAATAGAAGGAGATCTTATAAACTGTTTCATACATTCTTCTTTCATATACCTAATTTGCTTTGGACTTAAAAAAAAAAAACAACCTGAATTACTTTGTATGTTACAGTTACAGATTGTTATGCTTTACAGGTTTGTCTCTTGATGGCTCCATTGTTGCTGAGGTGTTTTGGTTGCGTCTGACTCTTCGTTACCCCGTTTGAGGTTTTCTTGGCAAAGATACTGGAGTGGTTTGCCATTTCTTTCTCCAGCTCATTTTACAGATGAGGAAACTGACGCAAACAGGGTGAAGTGGGCTTGCCTAGGATCACACAGCTAGTAAGTGTCTGAGGCCAGATTTGAACTCTAGAAGATGAGTGTTCTTGACTCCAGGCCCAGTATCCTATACATTGCAGCACCTAGCTTCCCATTGGTAGCTCCACTATCCTCCTAATCACCCAAGTTCAAAACCATTAGCACTATGGATTCTTTCTCTTTCCCCCCTCACATCTAATAAACTTTTAAGTTCCACCTCTGAAGTATCAAAGGGGCAGCTAGGTGGCACAGTGAATAGAGTACCGACCTTGGAGTCAGGAAGACCTGAGTTCGAATGTAGTCTCAAACACTTCCTAGCTGTGTAGGCCTGGGTGAGTTACTTAACCCCAATTGACTATCAATCTATCTATCTATCTATCTGTCTATCTATCTATCTATCATCTGTGTATGTATATACACACACACACACACATATATATTAGGTCCACTTCTGTCCATTCCCCATCACTGTCCTTGTTTAGGCCTTCATCTACATTTACTGGTATTATTTTAATAGCTTTATAATAGATCATTTCCACCTCTTCTTTCTTCTCTCCCAATTCATCCTTCACTCATTGCCAAAATATTCTCCCTTAGGACTGCAATCAATCAGCAAGCACTTATTAAGTACCATCAATGT